ATGCTTGCTAAAGCCGGAACGGCTACGTACGGAAACTGACTATACAATGTCTGGCACATAGCTGGCAACAAGCGCACACGACTTAGAGGGAGTGGACAAGGAGAGACACCCCGAGACCACTCCCACGAGACCCCGTGTGCCATCCGCGTGGCCTCAGACCCGCAGCCCAGGCACGGTGGCGGGATGTGCCGAAGGCCATTCGACAATCGAACGAGCTCCAAGAAGCCTCCCAAAAGGCGCCCAAGAGGCCCTCAGAAACAACACGCAACAACCGCCAGTCGCCATGAGGGGTCGGCGGTGAGGCGTCAGCCTAAGGATCCGTGAGAACTGGCGGGTCTTGAGGGAATAGCGGACGTTCCGAGAGCGCTCTGGGGCGACTGTCCTCATTCTAGGCCTGCCTCATGGCCCTCCACACAGTCAAGGAGTAGCTTTAGGTCGGGCGTGTCCCCCTGCAGGCAGATTTGGGAGGAAAAATAAAACATACCAACACAAATATTCAAAAACGGTTTAAATAGTCGAGAAATCGACCCCGCACTATTTTTCGACTATGTTTGAACGTTCCTCCTGTAGAGGGACGTGCCCGACTTAAGAGTAGCTGCGGCAAGCGCGAGCGACGATCACTGGTGGGTCCACGCTTGCACGCTCGGGAGCTTGCGGACTGCCGCCGCGGTGGACAGCAAGCTGGATAAGCTGATCCCTCCTCCTCCTCCACCTCCTCCTCCTCCTCCTCCTCATTCCCTCTTCCCTCCTCTAGCATTAGAAAGCCTAGGATTCGCTAGGGACTGGTTTCCTCCCAAAACAACGAAAACCCTTCCAAAACCCTTCCAAAACCCTCCCGAAACCCTTCGAAAACCCTGCCGGAGCCCTTCCCGGAGGGCGTTCGGAGGGTTTCGGGAGAATTTCGGCTATTTTGAAAGGGAACCAATACCTAGCGAACCCTGGGCTTTCTAACTCTATAGCAGAAGGACGGGGAGGAGGAGAAAGCGGGAGGAGAAGAAAGCAAGCTGGGGGCAAGGACTTGCTGGGAGGAAGGACCGCAAAATTGTCGAAGAAGCTCGAAAGGCAATATGAAGGCCTTCTCGAACGCTCCGAATGCCTCCCAAGACCGATGCCACAGCGGCGAAAGACCCTCCAGGATGCTAGGATACAGCTGAGGAAGGTTCCCATTCGTGCCACGTCATGCCAGCAAGCCAGTGAAATACGCACCTTGTTCAGAGGATTTGCCTCTTTGCTCGTGAGCGTACACGGCGAACGCACACACTAAAAGAATAGCTCAGACACCCCGTCAGAATTCCCACCTGAAGCGCCCAAGCAGGAACAAACAAAGGAGAATAGCATCCTGGTTCTCGCTTTACGCGATGAATGCTGGTATGCGACGCGTGGGGGTTGGGGAATGCGCGCACTTCGCTCTTCATAGCCACAAGGAACCGAAACAGTACCTGCACGATCATCAGAGCCACTCCGTAAAAACATGCATGCCTGGGAGAGGCCTGGGAGAGGGGGTCATACCTCGGACCCAGAAGAGGCACATGGAGATCTCGAGGCCTCCACAGGAGAACATTCGCTCTCGGAGGTCCGCGCGGATCGCTCTGGTCGGCACTGGAACATCCCTCCCTAGCGTTAAGTCGGGCCTGCCCCCCTACAGGGGGGATTCTGGACGAAAAACAAAAAATGCGCAAGAGATGCCCCAAAGATGCCCAAACATGCCCAAAAGATCGTCCCCAGACTAATTTTCTTTACTTTTCTTGAACATTCCCCCTGTAGAGGGACAGGCCGCCTTAACCCCGGGCGCGCGGAGCTCGGGAGCGGCCAAGAGGGGGGTGTCCAAGAAGGGGGGGGGGTGCAAATCATGGCCGGCGGCATGTGCGCGGCCCAGGGGGGGGGCCAGCGACGTAATGAAATAAGAAGAGGCGCCCTGACATCTGGGGAAATATCATGGCCCCCGCCATGATATCCACCCCCCCCCTGGTCATCACCCCCCTCTTTGCCGCCCCCGATTAACCCCGGGCGCGCGGAGCGCGCCTGGGGGCGGCGCCGGAGGCGCCTCCGGGGAGGGGGCGCCTCCAGGCGCCTCCAGCGCCGCCCTCCCGCACCGCCCCCGCGGGAGAGCTGGACTCCACGCGCGGCGCTGTGAGCGCGCAGTCGCGTCGCACCAGCGCGCAGCTCTTTCGCGAGGGGGGTGCTGCCGAAACCGAAGGGGCCCTGAAACACACACAAATAAAGACACACGCAAATAACAGGATTCCCAATATTTTCCCACATTTTCAAAGTTTTTGTCTTCCCCCCACTTCCCATATTTCCCAATATTTTCTGAGGACTGGACGATTCATTGTATCTGTGTGCTTCTTCCCTCCTGAGAAACGGCAAACGCGTGTCGCAAGAGCATTCCTGTTGGGGCCAGTGTCGAGTGGAGGAGAAAAAAACTGCATGACTATAGACTTCCGGTCCAGAGGTCCGGGCGAACTCCTTGGATCTGCGCTGGATATCCCCTCGCTGGCGCGCGGAGCCGCCGGGGGGCCTCAGCGCCGATCCAAGAGATCCGCGCGGAGATCCAACAGCTCATGTTTACGCGGTTGTTCCTACAGCTACACGTTGGCGGACGGAAAACGGTAATTAGAGATGAAACGTCTTTGGCGCCGGGGACCGCCTGAAAAGCTCACACGATCGGCCCGTATCATAAGGATGCGCGATGAGGACGCAAGGGCCTTGGACACGCATTTCGAAGCTCTTCGGGCGGGGCGCGGCCAACGAAATAGGCGAAGGATGCATTGAGGAGGCAAGGATGCAAGGGTACCCTCGGGAAGGTTGCCCATGCCTACTATTTGTGCGGGTTGACTGTATATCCCTGCGGTGGCACGTCACGGAAGACTTTCCAGCCGCCCTGGGCCAGGCGCCCTCAACTGCGGACAAGCTGCGCCCCCGCCTCCGCCTCCATCGCCACCTCCTCCTCCTCCGCCTCATTCTCCTCGTCCTCGTCCTCCTCCTCCCCCTCCTCCTTCTTTCCCTCCTCCTCGTCCTCCTCCTCCTCCTCTTCCTCATTCTCCTCCTCCTCCTCCTCCTCCTCCTCCTCCTCCTCCTCCTCCTCCTCCTCCTCCTCCTCCTCCTCCTACGGCGCCCCAAGTGTCCACGGAACATCCTGGAATCCTCCCGAATCGCATGGCGCCCACGGGGCGATTCGAGCGCCGGCCCGAACAGCCCGCGCGAGGGACGCCGAAAGATTGCCCACACTGTCCGGAAGAGGTGGGCAGAAGCGGGAGGCAGGAGGGCGCGGGACTGATGGCCTCCCAGATGGGGCCGGAGCAGCTGGGGCCGAGGGATCGCGCCGCATCGCCGATGAGTACATCGGCGATGCATCGGCGACGCGTCGGCGATGCACCGGCGATGCATCGGCGATACATCGGCGACGTCGGCGATGCATCGGCGACGTCGGCGTGGGGAAACACGGGCTCCACATCGAACCAGATCGTCGATGCACCAGCGATGCGGCGCGATCCTCCGACCCCGTCCCCAGCTGCTCCGACCCCATCCTTAAGGGGCCCAGGTGGGAGCAGACGGGACCTCCGCCCGCCCCCTGGAGGCCAGAGAGGAGAGAAAGCCACTCTCGACCCCTGGCCCCAGAAACCCGCGCGAAATTCCGAAGGGTTACCCACTGCGTCCCAAAAATTAATGCTGCATCTCGGGAAACCAAAAGGGACCGATACCGCTACTCCCCAGACCTCTCCGCTGGTGCGTTCTGACCAGGGCGTCGAAGCAAAGCCAGCGGTGGCGACGGAGGCTACCCAGGAGGCCCAAAAAGAGGAAAACGAGGGAAGGGTAGAAGTATGGGCACCCTTTCCTCCTCCGAGGATGGCTTTGCGTCCACCGAGCCTGAGCATGCGCTCTCGGAGGTCCGCGCAGACTTCTCGAGGCCCCGGCGCCAGAGCCTCCCTCTACGATCGGGGATCTTCTGACCCGGGTCAGTCCAGACCCAGATCAGCAGGAAACCAAAAACTGCAATGCAGGGGGAAAAAGAAAGCTGCAACGCAGGTCTTCGCAAACCCGGGTCAGCCAATATGCGCGGCCGCCTCGCGGCCACGAGCGGCTCGCTAACCCGGGTCAGCCAGAGGGGGCCTTCGCAGGATCCTGCAGGATCCGGTGCCGTGGCTGACCCCCGTCTGCACTGACCCCCGTCTCGAGGCTCCCGACCTCTACGATGCCGCGCGAGGCGCGCCGGGGTTGCCACGGGAGGCGCCACCCAAGAGGGGGGGGGGGGGGGGCAACGCCGACCCCGACCTCCTTTCCGTCGGCGGCGAGGCAGAGGCAGTCCGCTCCAGCGTGCGGCAAGTCGGGGCAACCGAATGGCCAATTGGCCAACACGCGAGCGAGGGACAAGGACGAGGGCGGCCGCGCGGGGAGGGGAAAAGGCGCTCGGGCGTGGAAACATTCCGCGTCGAGCGAGCCAGAGCGGCGGGTCTCCGAACCTGTGTGCTGCTTGTTTGGGTAATTCGACTCCAAGACCTCACCGGGCCAAGCCAAGAGGTACAGAGCAATCGATGGCTTTCGGTGGTCATTCAAGTAGGTCTTCGGTCCCCCCGCACAGAGCACAATTCGACTCCAAGACCTCACCAAGCCAAGCCAAGGGATACAGAGCAGCCGATGGCTTTCAGTGGCTACGCAAATCGGTCTTCATAACCCCCGCACAGAGCACGGACGGAATACAAGACGGTGCCGCGCGACCGCTTCATCTGCCAATCCCCTCTGCAAAGGCGCTTCCGTGAGCCTCACGCATCCTGCAAGACTCCCAAAAGGCCTCCAAGACTCCCCAAGTGACCTTCAGAGTCCCTAAATCGGCAGCAAGGTGCAAAACTGGCATTGCCAAATGCGTCTTTCGATACTTCTATCGCCTGTGCGGTTGCCGCCTCAAAGAAGACGATATCCACTTCAACACGGCTACACACGAAACTAGAGCCAGGAACACTACGTCTTGCAAACTAGAGCCTGAACGTCTGGGGGTCGGAAACAACGCATTCCCTTGCCCCGCCATTACTGGCGATCGCCGCAGCCGCTACCAACCAGGAATGCTGCGCCAAAGCCTCAGACCATCATTCTGGGGTCTGATGAGGGCATCTGCGCCGGCGTATTCTTGAAGATCGCAAGGACCTCGGGATGACACAAAGCAGCTACTGATGCGACAAGTGAGTGCGAGACGTTGGGGATGGGGATCAAGGGTACGGCGCGTGAAGAATGTCATGTCACACTTGTTCAGGAGGGCACGCCGCTGGATGCCCCCAGGGGGGGGAGGGGTCCGGGACCCCCTCCCCCCTCCCCCCTCTCCCCAATCCGTCGTGGGCGGACCCCCCACCCACCCCTTTCCCGATCCGTCGTCGGCGGACCCCCCCCCCCCCCTCCCCACCATTGGATTCGAAAGTCGGACCCTCCCCCCGCCTCCCCTCCTTTCAAGGGGGAATGTTCGGACCCTCCCCCCTTTACTCCAGAACCCTAGCTCTGGACCGCCACCCCTAACCCTGACCCCCGAACCCCCCAACCCGAACCTTAAACCCTAACCCCAAACCCCAAAGCCCAGACCCTAACCCTATTCCCAATCCTCACTCTATCCCTCAATCACTGTTCCTTCTTAATATACACCCCCTCCCCCAGGCGACTGGGGGCCAACCCGATACCATCCCAACATCATGCCGACATCATGCCAACCCGCCCCCCACCATCCCTGTCAAAAACAATACAAACCGCATTCTGCCTCCAAATGTGGAGCATGCGCGGCCAACCCGACGCGACCCCCCCGCACCATTCCTGTCCAAAAGCAACATGCAAAATACACTTTGGGGCAAAGTCTTGAGTCATGTTCGTGAGGCCCGCGGGCATTTTGTATTGCTTTTGACAAGGACGGAGGGGGTGTCAGCATATTCCATGCTTTGCGCAGGGCTATTATTCCTGAAAAAAACGTACAACAATACACCTCGCGGCTAAATCTGGATCATGCGCGGCCATCCCGCGATCACTGTCAAGTGGTTTTGGGACAAAGGACGGCGGTGGTGGTGACGCGTGGACTGCCGTGCGCAGGCCCACCGGACGCAATGATGGGCAGCGGCATCGGACTTCGACAAGGATGGCGGGGGCCGACATGTTTCCCTATGTGTGCTGTCACGTGCGCAGGCGCACCTGACGCACTCTGCACGTGCCCCGAACACGGCGCACCTGGCGTCGGCTGGAGTGTGCGGCAGGCCCGAGCGTGCCAGGCACGCCTGGTGCGCCAGATGCGCCACGTGCTCCGAGTACGCCAGGTGTGCCGCACACTCCAGACACGCCAGGTGCGCAGCGTTCGGGGCACGCGCGGAGTGTGTCAGGTGCGCCTGCGCACGTGACAGCACACATCGGGAATCGTGTCGGCCCCCGCCAAATCCTTGTCGCAAACCGATGCCCACCATTGCTTCTGGTGGGCCTGCGCACAGCAGGCCGCGCGCCACCACCCCCGCCGTCCCTGTCAAAAACAATTTGACAGTGATCGCGGGATGGCCGCGCACTGGGAACCAAAGCCGACCCCAGGTGCGCGACGCTTGCGCGAGGTGCGGCACGCGTGCCGAGGGCGCCACGCGCGCAGGGCACCCCTGGGGCCCGAGCGTGCCAGGTACGCCTGGTGCGCCAGATGCGCCACGTGCAGGCGCGCGTGGCGCCCCTCGGCACGCGTGGCGCACCTCGCCCAAGCGTCGCGTACCTGGGGTCGGCTCTGGTTCCCAATAAGCAGTCTATCCAAAGACGACCGCTGACCATGCTCAGGCTCGGGTGTTACGTCAGTGTAGGGAGGGCGGGTAGGAGTGAGCAAGACGGCTTGTGGGCGGGCGGGGTAGCTTGACCTAACCCTTACCCTCAACCTCACCCTAACCCTAACACTAACCCCCGCCCTAACCCTAACCCTAATCTTAATCCTGCGCTATGATCCCTAACCTCTAACCCCAGACCCCTAACAGCGAACCCCTAACCCCCACCCCTCTATAACCCCAACCCTAAACCGAACCCTACTACCCCAACATGAAGCCCCTGACTCCCTAACCCTAACCCTAAAAGCAACACCATAGATCTAACCAACTAACCCTAACCCCTTCTAACACTGTACCTAACTCTAACCCTACCCTACCCTAACCCCTAACCCCTAACCCTAGCACCCCAACCCTAATCCTACCACCCAACCCCGAACCCCCATGACACTAACCCTAACACCCTAACCCTAACACCCTAACCCTACCACCCTACCCCTACCTCCCTAACCCGAACCCTAACACACTAACCATAACCATACCACCCTGACCCTATCCCCTGACTCCCTACCACCCTAATCCTAACCACCAAACCCTAATACCCTACCCTCAACCCGAATCCTAACCGTACCACGCTAACCCTAACCCCCGAACCCGAACCGTAGCCTGAACGCCCTAACCCGGATGCTACCACCCTATCCCCAACCCCCTAGCCATAACCCTAACACCTTACCCCTAACCCTAATCCTGACCCTACCACCCTAACCCTAACCCCCTCACCCGAACCCTAACCTGAGCACCCAAATTCTAACCCCACCACCCAAACCCTAACCCGACCATCCGAATCCGAGCCCTCACGATCCTAACCCTAACCCACTAACACGAATACCCTAGCCAAAGCCCCCTGACCCCAACCTTAACCCTACCCCCCGAATCCAACCACCCTAGCCCTAACCCCCTAACCCTAATCCTAACACCTTACCCTATCCCTAATCCTAACCACCCTAATCCTCACCACCGAACCCGAACCCTAACCCTAACCTGAACACCCTATGCCTGACCCTACCACCATAACCTTTACCCTGTAACCCCAACCCCCTAACACCCTTAACCCTAACGCCCTAAACCTAACACCCGAACCCTGACACTCTCACCCGAACCCTGGCCCCCACTACCTCCGGCGCATCACAAGGAAGCGGGAGGCACTCCCCCCTCCCCCGCGTCTGGCGCAGGGGGGGGGTCCGACCCGCCCTTCTTTCGAAAACGGAGAGGGGGGGTCCGAAATCCCTTGGCGCAAAGGGGGGAGGGGGGGGATCCGAAACCCCCATCCCCCCTTTGAAAGGGGGGGAGGGGGGGGTCCGAAAACACACCCTCCTTGAAGGGGGGGAGGGCGGGGTCCCGTTAGCAAACGACCACTTTACAATTACAGAGGCACCCAGTGGCGCACTTTCCTTGTTCGGCATCCTCTTCACAATAGGCACAAGAAGGGAGGGGCAAGAAGAGATGGCAAACAACTGATTCGCAAAGGGAAGATATGGGGGGGAAGGGACAAAACAAGTAGGCGAGGGAGGGAAAAGAGGGTGACAGAGAGAGAGAGGGCGACAGACAGTGAGAGATGATGCCTCTATATGTATATATATAGAGAGAGTGAGGGAGAAAGAGGTGTGTGGTGTGTGTGTGTGTAAATAAAAATAAAGAGAAGCCCAAATAAAAAGCGGAGAGAGGGAGGAGGCAGGGAGGGAGAGCGAAGGGCCGGGGGCGAAATGCTCGGAGTATTATGGCATCGGCCTTCTCCTTGTTGGTCAGGCCGCTGCCGTCGCCCGCCTTGCCGTCGGTGGTCTTCATGACCTCCTGCAGCTCGGCCTCGTGGCCGACGCCGGGGGCCGGGGCGGCGGAAGGCAGCATCCCTGGCAGTGCCCCGCATGACCTCGTCACCAAAAAGGCAAAGACAGAGAACGAGAGAGAGAGAGAGAGAGCGAGATGATGGGCCCGTTCTCCACCACCGCCACAAGCTGGAGGGGGAGGGGGTCCTCCTCCGCCTCCTCGTCCTCGTCCTCCTCCTCCACCGCCTCCTCCTCCTCTTCGTCCTCCTCCTCCCCCCCCAACGTATGGTGGTGGTGGTGGTGGAAAACAGGCCCATCACGAGAGGACATCCATCCAATTTCGCGCATCGCGCCCCGCGATGCGCGCTTCTCTTCGCGCCCTGCCGCCCTCGCGCCGAGCCCTCGCCGGAGAGGGGCGGCCGCGGTGGCCTGGACCGCGGCGTGCGCAGCGCGGCACCCAGCGCGCCTGGACTGCAGGCGCGGCCCTGCGAGCGACCCAAAATCGCTCCGCACGAGCGCGCAGAGCGTTCATCTAAAGGTCGAATTATCCGCCCCCAGAGTAACCACCCCGACACGCGAAGTCGTTCAGTGAGCGCGCCCAAAGAAGGAATCGAACAGGGCATGGCCGTTTAACGAAACGCCATTGGTCCGGTCCGGGCGTCTTCTCCTCACCTGACATTTGGCCACTGCGAAACAGACGAACGCGCGCCGCAAGGGCATGCCTGCCGGGGCCCTCGTCTGGAAGAAGCAAAGCAGCATGGCATAAATTGTCGGAGGTCCGCGCTGATGTCTTGGCTCTGCGCTGGGTCCCCCCATGCAGCCCTGGCGCGCAGAGCGCGCCAGGGCTGGCGCCAGATGCGCCGCCAGGAGGGCCTCAGAGCCGATCAAAGATTGGGTGTGGCTGAGTGGGGGGGTCATGAATGGGAGGGTCAGAAAAGGTCCCCTCTCGTGCCCCTTTCGGGCCCCTCCGGAGCCCCAGGGGGCTCGTTTAGGTACCGTTTGGGTACCTTTTCGGACAACCCTTGCCACCCCCCCCGTTTATGACCCCCCCATTACGCAACGCCCAACCAGGAAACTCGCGCGGAGTTCCGACAGCTTATGCTTACACAGTCGTTTCTTTTTCGCTCCTGTCTGTTTACTGCCAGAGCCGCAGGCTCCCACGACCTACGGAGCACAACGCTCTCCAACGTGGGCGTCCTGAGCTCGTTGTCTGGAGGACTCCGTGTGCAATCCCATGCGCAGACCTGCGATCTACTGGTGCCGTCCCTGACTGGGACAGGGTACTCCGAAGGTGCGTACACCGCAACAGACGAAAGCATACAATGGGGAGATGGTTCATCTCCCCATCATGTGCTCCCACTATCATCAAAACGAAGACTGGTAGGTCACCACAGGGCGACCACAGTAACGAATACATGGCAGAAATACAGGTGGGCACGGCACATCTCGACCATGAGTGCAAAAGACAGCCTCCAGTCGAATTACTCCGATGGTGAATGCTGTATGCTTCGGACTGAAGCCCAATGACCTCCCCCAAGCGATCCCAAGCCGATCTTGGCTCTGGTTAGCCTACATGTGCCAGGACGTACTATACAATATGGAGCATTCGACGGGGTATGCGTCTTGTTCCGTACGCGTATGGACAGAAGAATCAGCATGCAGACTAATTCGCCGGCCCAACGGGCCAGGGCGTGCTAAGATCTCCGGTACCTGGTTAACAGTATTTCTAGTTCGCGCGCGCGGGGCGGCCCCTGGGGGTCCCCGGGCGAAAAGTACCCCGGCAAGGTCCCGGCAAGTCCCCGGCAAGGTCGGGTCAGAGATGCCGGAGTTCTGTTTCGGAGTCCAAGAGGGCTCCAGATCGGTCCAAGAGGGCCCCGAGAAGCTTTCTAGACGGTCCAAGAGAGGCCCGAGACGGCCAAAGATCGCCCGAAGACGCCCCAGATGGCCCCAAGACAGCCCAAGAGGCCTCCAAGACGCTCCAAGGGCCTTCCAAGAGGCCTCCGAAGAGGGCCCCAAGTTGCCAAAATCGTTGATTTTCATTGTTTTTTAAATGTTTTTTTGCGTTCTGGCCTTTTCGCTTCCGGACGCTCCAAGAGGGCCCAAGAGGCCTTCAAGACTGCTCCAAGACGGCCCACGAGGCTCCCAAGACGGCCCCGGAGCGGCCCAAGAGCGCCCCCCAGACGGCCCAAGTGCTGCCCAAGGCGGACCAAGAGGCCCCAAGACGGGCCCAAGAGGGGCTCAAGAAGGGAACCGAGAACTGAAAAATCGAGCCCTCCGCCCCAGAAGGCGCCCAGGACCCCGAAAGAGGCCCCAAGAGACTCTCCAAGACACCCCCAAGACGCCCCAATAAGCTCCCGTGAGGCCCCAAGAGGACCAACAACGTCAGGCCCCAGGCCCCAAGAGGACCAACAAATACCGCCAAGAGCCCGCCGAAAGCCCCCCAAGAGACCGTCACGAGAGCTCAGGAGGCCCCCTGGAGGCCTCCCGAGTTCTCCAAGAGGCCTAAAAAGAGGCGCCAAGAGGCCCCAAACGGCCCCACCGAGGCTCCAATAGGCCACGAACGCGCAAGCAAACGCCTGCGATGGCACAATACGGGCCGGCGGAATGAGCGAAGCGATTAAATAACAGTAACTATGCATTCAAAGGGATGAGACGGACTGTCAGCCAAAAGATGACAAAAACCCAAACATCGAAGAAGAAACAAATGCTGTCCAGCCGGGTCCTTTCTTTCTTCGATATTGGGGTCTTGCCGCAAGGACAGACCCATCAGGAAAAAATGCTCCTCCCCTGAGCATGAATCTAACCGATCCTTATCCCATGGGCGTGGCCTGGGCCCAACTGGCCGATTTTTACCTAGATGGAAGCCGTCCCCTTCGAGTTTCGAGGGACCTATCCGCAACTGGGGTGCTGGGATGGTGACAGGCCTCCTAGATGGGGTCCGAGCAGACGGGGTCGGAGGATCGCACCGCATCGCCGACGTTGGCGGTGCATCGGCGACGCCGGCGAGGGGAAAGACGGCCTCCACATCGAGCCGCATCGCCGATGCACCGGCGATGCAACAGCTCGGGCTACCTGCACGGGCGCCTGTGCCACCCGTCTCGGCTACACTCAGGTCGGGCATGTCATCCTACAGGCGGATGTTGGACGAACATTTTTCTAAAAATGCTCAAAAGTAGCCTGGCAAAAGACCCAGCCATATGCAATTGTGGGTGCCGCAATCGTGAGCATCGTCTTCGGTGGAGCTCCCCATGGGGCCACGAACCGTGTGAGGGGTGTGCCGAAACGGGGGTGGAACCGAATGCGAACGTTGCCACTGGGGCCTTCGGTGGAGCTGCCTATGGGGCCACGAGACGTGTGAGGGGTGTGCCGAAATGGGAGTGGAACCGCATGCGAACGTTGCCACTGGGGCCAGCTGCTATGGGGCCACGAGACGTGTGAGGGGTGTGCCAAAACGGGGGTGGAACCGCATGCGAATTTTGCCACTGGAGCATTCGGTGGAGCTCCCCATGGGGCCACGAAACGTGTGAGGGGTGTGCCGAATTGGGGCTGGAACCGCATGTGAACTTTGTCAATGGGGTCGGTGAAGCTCCCCATGGGGCCACGAACCGTGTGAGGGGTGTGCCAAAACGAGGGTGGAACCGCATGAGATCTCTGCCACTGAGGCCTTCGGTGGAGCTCCCTATGAAGGGGAATCGCCGAAATGGGAGTGGAACCGCATGCGAAGGTTGCCACTGGGGCCTTCGGTGGAGCTGCCTATGGGGCCACGAAACGTGCCTGTGAGGGGTGTGCCAAAATGGAGGTGGAACCGCATGCGAAGCTTGATACCAGGGCCTTGGGTAGAGCTCCCTGTGGGACCACGAACCGTGTGAGGGGTGTGCCAAAGTGGAGGTGGAACCGCATGCGAACTTTGCCACTGAGGCCTTCGGTGGAGCTCCCTATGGGGCCACGAAACGTGTGAGGGGTGTGCCAACATGGGAGTGGAATCACATGCACACTTGCCACTGGGGCCTTTGATGGAGCTCCCTATGGGGCCACGAACCGTGTGAGGGGTGTGCCGACATGAGGGTGGAACCGCATGAGAACTTTGCCAATGGGGCCTTCGGCGGAGTTCCCTATGGAGCCACGAACCGTGTGAGGGGTGTGCCAAAATGGGGGGAACCGCATGCGTACTTTGTCACTGGGGCATTCGGTGGAGCTCCCTATCGGGCCACGAACCGTGTGAGGGGTGTGCCAAAATGGGAGGTACCGCGTGCGAACTTTGCGACTGAGGCCTTCGGTGGAGGTTCCGATGGGGCCACGAACCGTGCGAGAGGTGCCGAATTGGAGACGGAACCGCATGCGAACTTTGTCATTGGGGCCTCCGGCGGAGCTCCCTTGGGGCCACGAAACGTGTGAGGGGTGTGCCGAAATGGGTGTGGAACCGCATGCGAATTTTGCCAATGGGGCCTTCGGCGGAGCTCCCTATGGTGCAACGAAACGCTGTAGTGAGCGCTAGGGAGGAGGGAGGAGGGCGAGGAGAAAGGAAGGAAGGAAGGAACGCAGGGCACTCTCTTCAAAACGAGGACCCAACACCACAGGATGGTTAGGAAATAATCAAAAGCAGTCAACAAGATCGTCCCCTGACTATTTTCTGATTATTTTTGACTGATTGTTTTGGAATACGCCTCCTGTAAAGGGACAGGCCCGACTTAAGGCTACACCAGACAAGCGCGTTCCACGACTCGCAAAGTACCTACTCGCAAGACGGCCTGGATCCGCCGCGGGGGAGGTCACGATCCGTCACACGTCGGGGCGAAGATGTGCTTTCCGGGCGTATGGAGCAGGCACTCTGCAAGAAGTGGAACGCTCTCGGTGATACACGCGAGAGTGACCCTTGGCACCCAGACGCTATCGCGTCGTGCAAAAATCACGACACAGTTGTCGGGCTCGCTGGTCCTGGGGCCGCTACACAGAGACACGTGCATGAAGAACCGGCCCCGGAGACAGGATCGGGACTTCCGGAGGCCATGTATTGGAAAGTCAGAACCTCTCACATCTGAGTAAGAGGTACCTTCGGTGCGCGGCTTCTTGGGGGCCGCGGGGGGGCCAACACACAAGCGCGCAAGGCGCTGCTATCGCACCGCGTTGGGCCCGCACCAAAGATCACTTCTGCGACGGGTCACTCTTTCGTGCACGGCCGGACCTAGGGCCGAAGAATATCCTCCAAGAACATGTGACCCTCTGCCGGCCAAACTGAAGAACATTCGAGGGTGCCTTCTCTCCGGATGCACGAGGACACCCCATAGACCCGAGGACCATCAGGGCACCCTCCCCGAACCGACCTCGATCATACGCCTCGGTCCGACCGCAACTGACCGCCTCCTGCCTTCGCGCGCAGCATCAGGTCGGACGTGCCTTCCTACGGGCGGCTTTGGGGAAGAAAATGCATTGTCAAAACACATCCCAAGTAAGAAGCAAACATACAGTGCGGGCGCGGCCGCAAGAAACCCTCGCAAGAAACCCAACCCTGAGAACCCGTGCGCGATGTGCACCTGAGGGGAAACCTGGAGCACCCTGAACGCAGCAGATCCTTCAACGGCTGCGGAAAGCCACCGCGAAGCGCGAGGAGCGAAGAAACCCGGGGCACCCTGACGAAGAGCAAATGGTTTTTCTTGCTGCGCGCCCGCTCTGCAACACCTACAAATAATCCTCAGAGCACTCCTTGGTTTGAAGAGAGGCCCTCCTCGAAACGTGTGAGGGGTGTGCCAGAATGGGGGGTGGGAGGGGGAGGAGAGAGGAGGGGAGGAGGAGGAGGAGGAGGAGGAGGAGGAGGAGGAGGAGGAGGAGGGAGGAGGAGGAGGGGGAGGAGGAGAGAGGAGGAACGCGGGGCACCGTCTCTTCAAAACGAGGACACCACAGGATGGTTGGGAATCATCCCCAGAGCACTCCTTGGCCTGAAGCGAGGCCCTCCTGCAGAGGGGACCTGCCGCCCGACTCCGGCGCAGCCCCGCTCTCCCCGCCGGGCCGGGGCGGCCGCGCCCTCTCTGCCCTCGCGCGCGCCCCCTCTCGGGGCTGGACAGACCTCCCTGTAGTAAAACGCGGTTTGGTGGAAACGACCTGAGGCCCAGACCCTGGCGGGCGCAGGCCGGGAGAAGAACGGCCACGGCGCCCTCTCGAGAACCGAAGACGGACAGTTCACGAATCGGCGTGTCACTGTTGGGGGTTCTGTCCTCCCCCGACCCTCGGCGGAGGGGGCGACCCGGCGCGCGCACGGCCCGCGCCCCGCGCGCGCAGGGAAGGCGCGCTCGGGCTCCGGGCCCGCGCGCTCGGCAGCGCGGAGGCCCAGCAATATGTGGGATCGAGTCGGGCGCGTCCCTCTACGCGAGGAGCAGTCAAAGACAGTCAAAAAAGATAGTCTGGGGGCGCTTTCCTCGTATCTGTTGACT